TCAACTCAGCTTACAACTGCACATATATTCCGTTTGTATCATACCTTTGAAGCCAGTTTTTTTTCACTTGAAACAAACTCCCTACCTCGCCCAGTATTGACAAAACACAAAACCTGAAATAAAACCAATACTGTCTGCAACATAGAAAGTTTGCTTTAGGTTTTTTCCGGTCTTCGAGGTTTTGGGGCGCCCAAGAGGTGCATTACCAACTCTTTACAATTGCCTGTAAACTGGCATAGCAAGAAGTGCACTACCAACTCTTTACAATTGCCTGTAAACTGGCATAATAAACATATTATTATTCTGTGTACACAATAAACTACTATTACTTTTCTGGCCTCCGCTAACTGCTCTACTAAAGAACCATTGAAGATCGCAGTTGCTAGGGTTTTGTTGGGAATGTGGCGATTTCCACGAATAATCAACGCACTCAACGGCGTCGCGAGAGCCGCTTGCTGTGAGCCAGTCTTGTCTGCTCAATCCTGATTGGCCCATTGTCGGACGACGTCTCTCGCGTTCCCTTTAAAGTAGATGCACCCTGTGTCTGACTTGACTTGCGCTGACTTGCACTGTAAAGTGCTCTGTCTGAGTAAACTCACTCTCTCCCTGGCCGACTGGTCTTTTTTCTGTCTCGCTCTCACGGGCTCTTGGGGAACCGTTTCGTGCTGATTAGATGTACCAGGGGTGGGTCGTAATTATTGGCGACGCAGTTTTTAACCCTTCAATGGAGGAATTGTGCGCGGACTGGAAGCTTATGTTGCAACAGCAGCTGAAGCTGGTGGAAACCCCTACCACCAAGCTATCCACCCCCACACGGGCCAATCAACTTTTACTGGTGGCTCACAGTCCATCAATTCCATCGCCAGCAGCATTACGGAGTTCTTATGTGACCCGCATGCCCAAGGTACTTTTGACTCCAGGTACAAACGATATGAGGATTTATTCTCTGTCCGGGAAGACGCATGGAAGGTACGACTCCTCCTTCACAAACTGGGCCCTGCCGAGCACGAACGCTACGCCAACATCATTTGGCCCAAGAATCCAAGGGACATTTTCTTCGCGGACACGCTGAAGAAGTTGTCGCAAATTTTCGGTTAGCAGTTTTCACTGTTCAACACCCGATTCCAGTGCCTTCAGCTGTGCCAACGGGAATCCGACGACTTAATCACGTACGCTGACTTTGTGAATCGCGAGTGTGGGCGTTTTCAACTCGGCTCTCTCGCTGAAGACCGGTCTAAATGCCTTATCTTCATCTGCGGCCTCCAGTTCCCCAAGGATGCCGACATCCGGACACGTCTTCTGTCCCACGTGCAACAGAGCAGCTCAGTAACCCTCCATGAACTGGCTGCCGAATGTCAAGCACTTATCAATCTCAAGCACGATTCGGCCACGGTCCAGGGCGCTTCTACTGCTGGCTCAGTGAATGTGGTCGCAGCAGCTAAACCACCTCTGGTTAGGCGGCCCAAGCCAACTCCCAAGCAAGCTTTCAAGGCGAAATCCCCGCTCTCTCTTTTTCGCCACTGTGGCGCGTGGCATTTCCATCGGGACTGCACGTTTCGCCAACATCGCTGCCAGATATGCAACCATGTGGGGCACCGCGATTGGTTCTGCCAATTCTCAACTTCCGTAGGCAAGCCTGCCCACGCGAATTCCAACCTAAAGCGCCGCTTCAACCCTAAAAGCGAGTCAAAAACGCAGACTCTCGGCAATTCTCTGAGTCTGTCGGCCACATTCCAAGTTAACGCAGCTGATTGCCGGAAGTTCGTTAATCTACTGGTCAATGGCCACACAGTTCGCCTACAACTGGACACTGCGTCAGATATCACAATCATCACTTCCATATGCTGCAAACTCTTCTCCGTTTTGCAAGCTTCGCAGTGATCTTCGTGGTCGCTATTGATGGTTACCGCGTGGTCGCCAACTTGTCGGTGGACTTTGGAGTCTAAGTCAAGCATCACTTTCAAATACTGCAAACTCTTCTCCGTTCGAAACCTTCGCGGTGGTCTTCGAGGTCACTATTGATGGTTATCGCGTGGTCGCCAACTTGTCGGTGAACCCTTGAGTCTCA